ATTCTGAGGAGAGCAGAGGACAAAAATAGATGGCGAGAGCTGGTTTTCCAATGCAGTGGTGCCCCAACGGTTGCCCCAACCACGAGATAGAAGAAGAAGAGCAAGTGCAAGAAAATACAATGTAGTGAGACATAGAGAGAGGAGTCATCTAAATTATGGAAGAGTAAGAAGACGTTTCTGGTTCAAAGGCGCTAGCATTTGCACCACAATAGTAAGACTTAGAGCGGAAACAGATATATTGGGTTTTTTGTTTGTTTGTTTTTTTGTTGGTGTTTATTAGTCGGGGGGGTTTTTTTTTTGTTGTTTTTTTTGTAACTGTGTTACGGGGCGTGGGTGGTTGGCGGGTGCTCTGGTGTGGTTTGTTCCTTCTTTCCTATCAATCAAACATATACAGTCCTTATCTCTTTTCCTTCCTTTTTGTGTATGTTACTGTCTTGTAACACGTCTATTCTTCGGCACTTATATGACCTTCTTGTGTTGCAAGTGCCGAAAAACTCTTACCAAAACTAAACTGTTACAGAGCTCGCAACTGCATAAGATCATATGAGCGCGCGGGAGGCACCAAACATTTTCATTTGGTATGAAATTTTGAATTTTGCCCGGCTGGCGGCCGAATCCTACTCTTATCGATGCTGGACCACCAAGGGACCTTTTACGTGCGCAACCTTCACTCGGGCTCTCGGAGATTTTTCGACCTTTTCCGAGAAGGCTAGATGTAGATCTTTACAACCGTGAGATCAAGGTTGTGACTGAAAGACAGCAGTAACGAGGAGCCACGGAGAAAAAGTAGAAAGGCTGCAGAAAGAGTCAGGGGCCCAGAGGAGGGTGAAAATGAGGTGAGGGGGTGGGGGCAGAAAGAGGAGACGAAAGCAGATGACAGAACATTGTTAGAGAACAGGAAAGGATGTGAAAGGAGAACATTTTAGAGAAGAAACATTTGCGCCGCTATCTGGATTCGAACCCGGGACCTATTGAATGAAAGGCAAACACCTTAAACTCTAGGCCACGAGAGCCCCCATAGATGGAGTAATATTTATAGTCAAAACTGTCAAAGACGTCCTTTGGCTGTCGAGGAGAAAAGTGGACGTATCAGAAAGGTGGTTGTCTTGTGCAGTTTCATAATAATGTAAAGATACGCAAGGGGAGAGATGAGAATTGGCGTGTGTGCAGGTAAATGCTTGTATCTTGAGCTCTCATCTTTTGTGTACAGCTGAATAGAGCCTATCCATTCACTGACTGTTTGATATTTTTCTTGTTATTTCCTCGACAGCTGTCGGTTTTTGTCGGCAATTGTCTTATACATGTGGCCGTTAGAGCAGGTGTAATTGTAAGTTTTCTTTTTTTTCTCCCCTCACGTAGCGAGAGGTTAAAGGGCGCTACTGGTTGATCCTACTTCTTTACTTTCCCTGTGTTGTTTCTGTCTATCCGTCTGTCTGTCTGTCTGTCTGTCTGTCTGTCTGTCTGTCTGTCTTACTTTTTCCCAGCACTAAATGACCATAGTTGTCTCGATGTACTTCTCTTTACTCAAACAAAAACCCCAAAATCCCCTCTCGTGACCTCTGCAACTGCTGCTGTGTCCAGGCAACATACAGGTGGACATCCTGGGTAAGGGCGGACACATCTCCAGACTCACCATTGGCAAGGCCACTAAGAATGTCTGGACCAGGATTCTCTTCACGCTGAACTCCAGGACGGTGAGTGCATAGAGGAGAGGGAGTGTGCTGTCTCTCTTTCACTCTCTCTCTTTCTCTCTCTCTTTCTCTTTTTATCCATACATCCATCCATCCATCCATTCATTCATCCATCCATCCATCCATCTATCCATCCATCCATCCATCCATCCATCCATCCATCCATCCATCCATCCATCCATCCATCCATCCATCCATCCATCCATCCATCCATCCATCCATCCATCCATCCACCCAACCACCCACCCATCTATCTATCTATCTATCTATCAAAAATAGAACAGAAAAACATGTAAATGCCGTCACAAAGATGTACACACGTACGGCAAATGTATGCGCTTTGATTAAAGTCAACATTACCTTAAGCATAAAGCATTACGCAATTCTGTATCAGTTTCCTTCTAATTAAAGTCCACATTAGGTCTTCATCATTGCCTTTCTCACCCTGCACCAGGGGGTAGGCCACGGGCTAACACTTTCTACCGTTCTCTATCCTGGGCTAGCCTCTTGATCTTATTCCATGTCTTCCCACTTTTTTGTACTTCAGTTTCTGTGATTCTTCTCCAGGTTCCACTCGGTCTTCCCCTTGATCTTTTCCCCTGTGGATTCCAATCCAACACTTTCTTTTGTTATGCAGCTGCCTGACTCCATATGTCTTACGTCACGTGAAAAATCGTTTTTATAATCACTCGGCTGTAGAGAGTGTAGACTTTCAATGGATGTTCTCAAATGAGTTACAGCTGGAAATCCAACTATGTCTATTGACCAGTCCAATAGAAATTTACTGTTCCTTGACCTTTGATCAATCCCACAGTAAACACAGAACAGACTGGGGCGCTTAAATGACCAAAATTGTGCCGTTAGTGCCGTAAAACATCTACCCAATCAACAGACTGGGGCCTTATATAGCTGTCTTTTGGATCAAGTTTTACGATAGGATGCAACGGTGACGGCTTTTTTCCATTTCGCCGTAATCTGTAGTGACCGTTGAATGTAGTACACCACAACAACAAGAAATACAATATCGATTTGTGTAATGCGAATAGTTGATCAAATTTATATTCAACTAGCTGAGCACCCGGCTTTGCTCGGGGTCGACGCCTTGGCGTCACTGCTCCTACTGGTCTACGCCGCAGATGCATTTTACATCTACATGTCCTTGCTGTCTAGCATTAAAAGTCATATCTGGCTTCTAGATCTGTATTGCTTTAGTTTAAGCCTGCCTTGATTAACTGCTTTCTTGATCTACATTGCTCCAGTGTATTGTTGTCTAGCCCTTCACAATCACAAAATACGGATTTCGCCTGACACCATCACAAAAAGCACTAAGAAAATAATAATCCACGAAAGGGCTGCTACACTGAAAAAAGAACACACCGACGTCTTCAAAACCACAGAGGCAGTGTCTATAGCTTGTTCGCTTTCCTCTGACAAGGTAAAAAAAATTCTAGCTCATTGACAAATTAACTTTGGCCAACGAAACTTTGCATGACACTTCTACAGACTATTCGAAATGTGAGCGTGCAAATTCATATGCACATTTCAGGTTATGACATACAAATTATGGCAATGCAACATGACTTGAAGATCAGAAATGATCCCAGGCTCAAGTACTTGAAAAAGACTGTTTCTGAGCTCTGAGGCTGCATCACTTTCCATGAAATAAACTTACAGAAATGAATGCTCATTTTGGGTGGCAGGAAGGGGAGAGCCAATGTGATGATATACTTGACCCTGCACGCGAAACAGTGGATTCCATCCATTGAGGGTTGCATCGGTGTAGCCCATGGATGTGAGCTGAAAGCTATGGTTGTACAGCCTGATTTTCTCCAGAAAGTGAGTGGACAGTGTCGACACACCAGACACAAGGATTTGCAGTTCAGGAGGTGGTTTTGGAAATGGATGCAGATAAACTTTGCCATTGCTACAGCACATACCTTGTGTTTCATGAGGAAATCTTATGGCCAGGCTGTGTGTACACTGTGTCGTCAGTTCCCCAATGTAGCACTCGTACTGAAAGGAATAGACAATGTAGAGGAATGCTTTTGGGAGATTTAGATCTAGAGGGTCCCCATCATTTTGTTGTTGATCTAGACCACCTCGACCTTTGCGAGCTCGAGGTGTTCCAACTGCAGAACTTCCTTTTCTTTTCGGCATTGCCAGGCGCTATCTAGAATCTAGGTCTAGATCTAGATTCTTATCTAAGATCTATTGATGTTGTTCCCAGTAGCAAGAAAAAGAATTTGACAAAGTAGTCCAGAAAAATCGAAGATGGGCATCAAACGAAAGGATCGCTGTCGAATTAAGCACCAAGTAGAAAAATAAAACATGAGGCTAGATGTATATGCGTCGCACACTTAAAATAGTGCTCAGTTTTGCGCGACAATGCGCGATTGTATCAAATGGAAGTACGACTTGAAATAAACAAACCTAGCGGATTTTCTAAAATTACAGAGACAGAAGCGTCGGCCTACAAAAGCGATCGGCGAAATAAAGAGGTTTAGCTTTTTGCAGCAAAACTATCTCAAAACTGAAAAAACGAAGGGTGCCATGATCTGGAGAATATTTTAAAGAATACTTTGGCGAAAACCGCATGTCGATCGACGCAGCCATTAAAAAGCATTTTGAATAGCAAAAATCGGCCACCACAAATAGATAATAGATAATGATGTAAACTTTCCCACAATCATTCGGCTTACGGAGTTTGGGTGAATTTTTTCTGGTCGTTTGTGTGTTTTTGTTGTTGTTGTTGTTGTTTATGATGTTGTTGTTGTTGTTGTGTGTGTGTGTGTGTGTGTGTGTGGTAGCCTATCCGTTCGAAATGTTCGGAGCCCCGAAGAGTGTGCTCTTCGCCAGGGCCACCGCCTCCCTTGGGTAGCGGGTGAGGCAGTCCAACCTCCCTGAATCCTCCCCGAAGAGATGCCACCGCCGGGCCTCCGTGTTGTTGCTGTTGTTGTTGTTGTCGTTGTTGTTGTTGTTGTTGTTGTTGTTGTTGTTGTTGTTGTTGTTGTTGTTGTTATTGAGGTTGTTGTTGTTGCTGCTGCTGTTGTTTTTTTTAGTCACTTTTTATTTTATTTATTCATTTTTAAACCTTTTATTAAGACCATGAATGTTGAAATCAAGCTGTCATTTTTTTGTGCATGCAGCGGAAATAATTAATTTCTTGTGTGTTTTACCCAACAGTGGTCGGTCCACGTCAACCATGGGAAGGACTTGGAGGAAGGATTTTGGACTGTCTACACCTAGTGAGTGTGTGGGTAGTTTACACATAGTGAGTTTGTGGGTACAGTTTACAAATAGTGAGATTGTGAATCCAGTCTATTCATAGTGAGTTTGTGGATATTGTATACCCATAATGATTTTGTGGGTACAGTTTACGATTTATTTTAAGTCAGTTTGTGGGTACAGTTTACGATTTATTATAAGTCAGTTTGTTGGTACAGTTTACAGTTTCCACATGTTGAGTTTTGAGTTTACTGGTACGGTTTACACATAGTGAATTTGAGTGTGTGGGTACAGTTTACTGAATACTCATCTTATCGTATCTTATCTTATCTTATCATAAAATAATATCTTATCTTATCTTATCTCACCTCACCGCAAGTGGCGTCTGTGGCCTAGTGGTTAAGCTACCGGACTCGTACTCATGAGATTGTGGGTTCAGGGTTTCGATCCTCAGCTCGATCCGACATTGTGTCCTTGGGAAAGGCACTTTAACCGAGTTTCCCACCTGGTTCTGTCGTTTCGGAGCAGTACGTTAATCTCGGAGGGCCCTCCTCTTAACCTTATCCGTACGTCGTGTTTTACTATCGTATCCATACGACGTGGGGAACCCTGTACTCTGTGCCACCCCTTTCCAAAGAGGAAATTTACTCGTGAATCCGATTCGTTCGCTTTGCCTAGCAGTCTGTCAAAATGATTTTTTGAGAAATACTGAACATTTCACACAGATCTTCGTACTAACTAGAAGTATTGTGAAGAATACAACCCCGGGTGTACAAAATGACGCCCGTGCGTACAGATAGGGTTCAATAACCTAACAGTGTCGATAGGGGCGTTAAACCTCTACCATTTCACCATGTTTTCCCCTCCCCGCAGTGACGAGGATGTGTTTGTGGACGACACGTACGGACTGTGGAACCTGGGCGGCCTGGACTGGCAGGTCGGGAGCTTCATCGGCTACATGGGCCGTGCCATCTTCCATCGCCGCAGAGTGCTCGAGTCTTACCAGGTGCGGGTCGTGCTGCACAATGTTCTTTTATTTATTTATTTATTTA